AAGAGGCAGTGCAGGGCCATGTCCAGAACAGGACCCATCGTTTGTACAGGGTCGGCCTCGTAAAGTCAGACAGGATGAGCAATGAACAGAAAACACCGGGGGGCACCGGAGTGAGAGAGATGGAGACAGATAGAGTCAGATAGAGAAGCAAAGAGAAGGAGACAGTAATCAAGGAGAAGAGGAAGAAAGAAGACAGCGGAGGAGCGACAGATAGGGAAACAGGGTGAAGGAAACAGAAACAATGAGGAAGGGGAAGGAGGAAGCGATGGTGAAAAGAGGACCGCTTGGAGAACAAAAAAGGAGACAGAGAAGATCAAGAAGAAAAGAGAAGAGGTAGGGCAGGACACTTGTTTTTGTTATCCACTGTTCCTTTTCCTTAGCCCTTACACTTATTACCCGAGCATCGCTCACTCCTTTCTTCCACGGTCTTTGTCCTTCTTTTCTCCTCTCCATCTATCTATCCTCTCTCTAGCTCTCCTTCCTTTCTTTTCCCATGTTCGTTCTCCTCCTTTCTCCGCTCTCCTTTTGACCCTGTCCTCCTCTGTTCCTTTTGTCATTAAGTAGGGGGATAGAACAAGGGCAAGGTTAAGCAAGGAGAATGAAGGGAATGATGAGATGGAAGGAGGACTTCTCCTGCTCCTTCTAACTACCTTTGTCTTTGTGTTCTTTTCTCTTGTTCTCCACCCTCGGTGTGGGGTTGGTAGATCTTAAACGCAACTCTTCTCCTCGCCCAGAACTCTTCTCCTCGCCCGGGAGTGCCCAACCCGCAAAGTGTTTCTGGAGCGCCCAACCCAGACCTGGAGCGCCCAACCCCAGTGTCCCCGGAGAGTCTCCCTGGAGCGCCCAACCCCACTGTGTTTGGAGTGCCCAGCCCCAGAGCGTCCCTGGAGTGCCCAACCCCAGAGTATCTCTACGCAGAGAGGGTTTGGATGTTAAAAGCAAAATAATTTTCTCCTTAGCAATGTGGGCAGCGCAGGACCATGTCCAGAGCAGGACCCATCGTTTGTACAGGGTCTGCCTCGTAAAGTCAGAAAGGATGAGCAATGCATAGGCAACACCGGGGGGGCTCCGGAGTGAAAGAGATGGAGACAGACAGCGAAGCAAAGAGAAGGAGACGGTAATCATGAAGAAGAGGACGAAGGAAGACAGTGGAAGAGCGACATATAGGGAAACAGGGTGAAGGACACAAAAGAGGAAGGAGGAAGCGACGGTGAAAAGAGGGTCGCTTGGAGAACAAAAGGGGGTCAGGGAAGATCAAGAAGAAAAGGGAATAGGTAGGGCAGGGCACTTGTTTCTGCGAGCATCGCTCACTCCTTTCTTCCACGGTCTTTGTCCTTCATTTCTCCTCTCTATCTCTCTATCCTCTCTCTAGCTCTCCTTCCTTTCTTGTTCCATGTTCGTTCTCCTCCTTTCTCCGCTCTCCCTTTTCTCGGGGGCAAGGTTAAGCGAGGAGAATGAAGGGAATGATAAGATCGAAGGAGGACTGCTCCTGCGCCTTGTAACTACCTTCCACAGCTCTCTGCATGTCTCTGTGTTCTTTTCTCTTGGTTTCTTCTTAGCAATGTGGGAAAGGGTCCTCCTCTGACACCTCTCCCTCACTCGTGGAGGCCCCTTGAAAAGAAGGCGTGTGAAATTTTGTGGAAAGAGGCAGCGCAGGACCATGCCCAGAACAGGACCCATCGTTTGCACAGGCTCTGCCTCGTAAAGGATGGGCGGTCTTTGTCCTTCATTTCCCCTCTCTTTCTCTCTATCCTCTCTCTAGCTCTCCCTCCTTTTTTTATCTCCATGTTCGCTCTCCTCCTTTCTCCGCTCTCGCTTTTCTCGTGCCCATTCCATGACCCTTCCTCCGCTGTTCTGTTTGTCATTAAGTAGGGTGGGATAGAAGAAGGGCAAGGTTAAGCAAAAAGAAAGAAGGGAATGATATGATGGAAGGGGGACTTCTCCTGCTCCTTGCAGTTAACTACCGTCCACACTTCTCCACATGTCTTTGTGATCTTTTCTCTTGTTTTTCTTCTTACCAATGTGGGGAAAGGGTCCTCCTCTGACACCTCTCCTTCACTCTTGGAGGGTTTTTGGGGAGAAGGCGTGTGAAATTTTGTGGAGGCTCAGAGATGGTTGGAGTGTGTGGAAAGAGGCAGTGCAGGACCATGTCCAGAACAGGGCCCATCGTTTGCACAGTGTCTGCCTGGTAAGAATGAGCAATAAACAGAAAACACCGGGGGACGCCGGAGTGAGAGAGATGGAGACAGATAGAGAAGCAAAGAGAAGGAGACAGTAATCAGGGAGAAGAGGAAGAAGGAAGGCAGCGGAAGAGCGACAGCGAGGGAAACAGGGTGAAGGAAACAGAAACAATGAAGAAGAGGAAGGAGGAAGCGATGGTGGAAACAGGATTGCTTGGAGAACAACAAGGAGACGGAGAAAAGCAAGAAGAAACGAGAAGAGGTGGGGCAGGACACTTGTTTTTGTTATCCACTGTTCGTTTTCCTCGCCCTTACGCTTACTTCCCGAGCATTGCTCACTCCTTTCTTCCACGGTCTTTGTCCTTCATTTCCCCTCTCTATCTCTCCATCCTCTCTCTAGCTCTCCTTCCTTTCTTTTCCCACGTTCGTTCTCCTCCTTTCTCCGCTCTCCATTTTCTCGTGTCCATCCCACGAGCCTTTCCTCCTCTCTTCTTTGTGTCATTAGGGGAGTAGCACAAGGGCAAGGTTAAGCAAGGAGAATGAAGGGAATGATGAGATGGAAGGAGGACTTCCCCTGCCCCTTCTAACCAGCTTCCACAGCTCTCTACATGTCTCTGTGTTCTTTTCTCTTGCTTTTATTCTTAGCAATGTCGGGAAAGGGTCCCTTGGGCCTAAACCCTAACGCCTAAACCCTCGTGAGTATTTCGGCCTCGGGAATGGCTTGACGAAACGTCGTGACGCGACAGAAAACGAAAGTCTTCAACTATGATAACAGGC